GAAAGAGCAGGACACCAGCGCTCACCTGGAGCGCATGAAGAAGAACATGGAGCAGACCATCAAAGACCTGCAGCACCGTCTGGATGAAGCTGAGCAGATCGCCATGAAGGGAGGCAAGAAGCAGGTGCAGAAGCTCGAGGCCCGGGTAAGAGCATAAATGAGCATACTTCATTTGAACATGCAAAACAAATCTCAGCCACATCTAAATAAGCAAACTGCTCAATGTGTTTTGATGTGACACCTTGAAGGTGAGGGAGCTGGAGAATGAGGTGGAAAGTGAACAGAAAAAAGCTGGTGATGCAATCAAAGGCGTGAGGAAGTATGAGAGACGTATCAAGGAGCTCACCTATCAGGTAACTATTAGAGTGGACATGAACAATTGAATGTTTTGATCTTAATAAGCACAGAAATCCCACCTCATACATTTTGTCTTTTTCCTTGAATTTATTTCATTTAGACGGAAGAAGATCGTAAAAATCTGGGACGTCTCCAAGACTTGGTTGACAAGCTGCAGCTTAAAGTGAAATCTTATAGGAAAGCAGCAGAGGAGGCTGTAAGTATCCCTGACTGTAAATACTGCTTCGACACTACATGGAATATTGAATTTGTATGTTGCTCTAAAGCAGTGGCTCCTAACCTGGTGGTCCCGGCCCCCACAAGGGGGCGCCAAAGCCTCTCAGTGGGTCGCCAGGACCTCTCCACTTTAAGGAGTTAAAACTTCATTTATTACTTGTTTATAGCCCACATTTTGCTCACATTTTTTTTTCATGAGTGAAAAGTTTACTGATATTAAGACAGGAAATAATTAGTACAGAAAAAGTAACACACTTTTAAGAACATTTTGCTCAGCTCACTGTTTTGTTTTCAAGTGTCAAAAGTTCATTAAAGATAGGACTGGTTTATTAATCACAGTGTTTACAGTAAATAATCTAGTATAAACAGTAATATACACATTTAAGTACATTTTGCTCAGTGTATTTTTTATGTGTCAAACGTTTATTGAAAGGAATGATTGATTTATCAGTGTTTACAAGAAACAATGTGTTTAAGAAAAGTAATACAAACTGTCAAGCACATTATGCTCTGTTTGGTTTTGTTAATGACTTTGTTCTGTACTGGAGCCTACTATTACTGTTATCTATTGAATCAAAGCATATTAAAATGTGCTTGATTCATTTTATCATTTCTTAATAATGTTTGTACTGGAAGAGAGAATGGGAGGGGGTCATCAAAAATTTTACTGGTAAAAAACGGGGTCCCTTGGGAAAAAGGTTTGGAACCACTGCTCTAAAGCACACAGGCTGTCGTGATGATTGTACATTCTGAAGATCAGATTTTGGCAGCCTTTCTTCTTCTTTTCAGTCCAAATCCTGACACCAGAGACTCTTTGTTACAAAACCCCAGTTGGTTTGAATTTCTTTCGTTTAATCTATAAAACTCCCAAAAACTCTGTTCACCCAACAGCAACTAGTATGTTATAAATATGTTAATCTGGTGTGGTTTTGTTGACCCAACTTCTTCACATTCACTCCCCATTTATTTATTTCCCTCATTCAAGTGCACAAAAATCATTATGATCTGACAGAAAGCTCCAACTACACGCTCATTGAGCATATCACTGTGAATGCATCCTACAGGAGGAACAGGCCAACAATAACCTGACCAAGTACCGTAAGCTTCAGCATGAGCTCGATGAAGCCGAAGAGAGAGCCGACATCGCCGAGTCACAGGTCAACAAGCTACGCGCCAAGAGCCGTGACATCGGGCCGAAGGTTTGTCCATGAACACGTCTAAATGCACGATAAAACGTGGAAGGCTGTTTGAGACATACAAACATGCCAGATCAACAACTCCAGCAACATAACTCATCCTTTTACAAAAACAGTTTTCTTAAATTCATTCAAATTTTGTTCAGTTCAAAAATACTTTAATGATAAAGTTTTATACAACTTTTACTTTTATGTATTGTACTTTATTATTTATATGCTTTCAATAAATAACTTATGTACTTTTTAAAATAAATTGTTATTAATATAAGGCCCACGGTATCGTATGTGATACATGCATTTCTAAGATTGTAGTAGCTCTATCTCTTTAGCAAAATTAGCATTTTCCAAAACAATCTGCAGTCTTAAATCTTTTAAGGGTTTTCTGCCCGCTCATGGATTATTTATGTACTTAAGTACATAAGTGGGATTTTTATTTAGTATAATTATTGTTGAATTATTATAGAATTGCTTGATACATTTAATATAAAAGTTAATAATTGTTATATTATCATTATCAATCAAATGTTTAAAATTTTAATAAATTTCAGTCTTTTGAATATTATTTAATGTGTTGGGTCTTACAGGGTTAAAAAAAATAATCCAAATTTTCTCCTAATAGTGACAGTTTAAAAAAGTTATCGTGTTCTTGTAGATCGTTTTCAGACCTTTTCCACTTGGTGTCCCTCTCAGCTCCCGTTTTAGAAACGACTGGTTTAGATTACGAACCAACTTAAAACTACGCCCGAGCCCCTGATTCTTACTGTGACATTTCAAATACAGGTCATGCTTGTTACTCTGAAATAATAAAAACTGCTCAGCATTTATTCTGTTTTCTTTTTCTTTCAGAAAGGACTTGATGAAGAATGAAACCTCTCTATCTTCAAAACAAGCTTCGGAGTCACCTGTAGCCGCTGTGACGATGCGTCCCTAAGCATGTTGTGTTGTTTCTTAGAATAAAGATATTCATCTGACAGCATCTCTTCTTTTGTTCTTGACAAAATATTTCTTGATTTACAACAGTGTTAGGAACAGAAATTTACTTAAAACAGCAACAAATATATAAAATTACAAATGATTGGCAATTTAATTGTCTTAGTTACTGAACAGTTAACGTTTAGCAAAAATATAGGAAATATACTAAGACTTTTATCAAATTTCCATTGGACTATGGCAAATTATTAGGGATGCTTGATATAGGGTTTTTTACCGATATTTGATATCCTGATATTTTTTAATTCTTAACCTCCGATACCGATATAAAACAATATCGATATGTGCGGGGCCCCGCCCCCATCATTTTAAGTTGCTGACATCACATCTCTCCTATTATACATGCTTAAACTTTATCTGTGCAAAATGACTACTTCAATTACGGAAGAACAACAATTTCACCAGAGTGTTTTTAAACGTAGAATTTTGACATTGACATTTTATTGTATGAAATTATGTATTATATATAAATATATTTACTTTAAAATACAACAGAAAAAAAATTCATCCGTGAACGTTCAACTTCAGAATTTCATACTCAAAAGGACAAAATTCTACTTCCTCACAAGTGAAACAGTCTTAAACAACTCAAAAGCTTTATATCAGATCTGTCATATTCTGACATTTAGAGAGAGAGGAGAAGTAGCTGAAGAGTATGATATGTGCATGGTATATAAAAGATGGGTCATTAAGAGTAAAAGTTGATATTACATTCTAATGCCAATATGGGCCGATATTAATAGTAGACCAATAATATCGGACATCTCAACAAATGATGCACACAGCAACAACAAAACTATAAAATCTGTAATAGCTTCATGTTAATACTTTGAAACAAATGAATGCATCAAACTAAATAATCTTACTGGGGTTTTATTCTGTAAAGAGGAACAACCCTAAACAGAAAAATGTTTAAGTTTTACACATAATATAAATTTCTAACAGTCTTTAAAAATAAGAATTCTACTCAAATATAAATACTTTCATATGAGGTTCACTGTGAACTTTGTTTTAAAGACATCTTTAATTTTCTAAGACAAAATTTGTTGCTTGAAATCTTTTTAAAAAGGTAAAAAGCAAACCATGCATCTATCTGTCCAACGTCCATCAACAAGTCCATCAGTTAGGTGAGGGGATTAATAATCCACTCATTTGTTTAGGTGTTGAAAACAGATTAGATTAGTTTCTTTTTACAACAACTGTAGTCCCATCCACCTTGTCCTATTAAGGTCATGGGAGGGGGGCATGTCCTAGGAGTCAACAAGCAGAACAGGCCTCCAGTTCATCTCATGGCCCAACAAACAACCATGAACACAGAAATAATCTGAATCCCCATTTAACCTAACAAGCCTGTTTCTGGATAGAATAATCTGGAGAAAACCCGTCACACTAGCATGTGGAGAACACAGAAACCCCAAAGTATGGGTTCCTACCTAACCTTGTTTACATTCACGACTCTTTTCTAAATTCTAGATAAATAAATATAAAAAAAAAAACATTTTTGGAAATTTGAAGGAAATGTTGGAACAATGCCAATAACAAAAGCAGAGGGACTCACAAAACAGACTAGATTAAGTCTCCACTGAGAAAAATATTTTGTTTGAGAATGTCTGGAAAATGAGGAAAACGAGTGTTTCACTGCTGTGCTCTGTGATCAGTAGATCTTGCAGGTATTTGGATCCTATTTCTAATTGAGTACTAGTTTTAGTTTATTTTAAGCATCTGAGGTAAATTATATTCAAAGATTGTAGCAATAAGAACAGGTTAGCATTATTAAGTTGAGTGATTGCAGAAAGTTAACTTTCCCAGGTTCTAAGAACATAAATACTACAACTATACACCTCTAGTATCATTATTCAAGGTAAACTAAAATGCTCAGATCGGATCAGCTATGGTGTATAGGTCCATGTGTTGGCTTTTCAGTAATACAACATATTTGATTTCAGTTAAACACAATTAGAAATAAAGAATAATTATTAACGCACACATTTTTAAGGTCTAATCTGACCAGTGGTTGTTGAAGTCTTTCATTTGAAACACCGATCTTCAAAGCCAAACATGGAAGGGCCCAGCAGGATGACCGAACCAGATTTGTTAAACGCGTCTGATTGTTTCAATGGAATCTATGTTATCAATGGAAATGTGACATTGATATTTGAGTAAGTGTTTAGTACGTCCAAATAACAGTTGATTTAGCTATTGATTAATAAATAATACACATTTGTATTTGGTAAATCGTACCTTTCCATTGGTTCCCTCTGTCCTGGCCCTTGCTGGAGAGAAGAAGCAGTATTCAGGTTCAGTTGACAGCGAGGTCCAAAGTCTGAGTGAACCAAAGACAAGTGCGAGGACAATCAAATCCCCTTAGAAGTGACCTTTCACTGCAACTAATAGCCTAACAAATACTATCAATAGCTTTGCTGGCTCCAGTATCTCCACTTTAAGTGGGTCAAGGTGCCTCACACCTTCCTTTGGGTGTTCATGTGATTGTAAATGTGAAAGACTGCAAACAGCTGAGAATGAGACCTTCAATGGATGGACAAGTGATTGCTCCTGGAGCCTGGAATAGATGAGGGACAAGTAAAGAAGATGAAAGCTTAAGTACAAAGGCAATCAGGGACAGGGTTGCATGTGAGAAGATAGGGTGCATATGGCAGTGGATGAGATATACTATGAATGTGAGATATACGTTTGGATTGTTTCACAGTAAAGTGTAAATGTATGGCTGCTTCAAGACGACTTTTTCTGTTCATCTATTTTCCTTTCCATGATTGAAACAATTTCCCATAAGTCTAAAAAAAGTCTAATTTAGTATTTAAAGCCTGTAAATAATCTAACATTATACAACATATAATACATCTACTATAGCTCACCCGTAGCTTCTCAGGGGTTTATCACCTGCTGCTGCTGGTCAAAGTAGAAAAAAAACTTGTTCTGACAACCTGCGTCAGAAACTGTCCCCAAGCTATCCTCTGAACCACCAAGCCCTCAAAGGCAGCCAGCAGGAATTTCACAAGTTATCTTTGTCCTCAAGAATAAAGGGAAGAAAACAATGCCATGTCAACAGGAGCAGACCAAGGGCAATCACTGCATGTAACTTCTGGAGAGAAGCCTGGAGTACCGGTCATAAAAACATGAGTCTACTTCAATACAAGCACTTGTTGCTTTGTAGATTTCATTTTCTGAACAGATCTGTGAAAATTTGTAGACAAACCCCAAAATTTTAAATATACAACATTTTTTTTGATTGAATTAATGCCCTACAACTACAGAAATAAATCAATACATCATCAGCATAACTTAACGTCATGATCAGGGGTCTTCAACTAGATTTTTTCAAGGGCCAGAGTTTATTCCAGCATACACTGTGAGGGCCATATGCTCTTCTAAAATACATTTGAATTATTAATGTATTATATTATTTTACATTATATTAATCTTTACAAATTTAATTTTTTAATATTATTTGTCAGAGTTTATCTTCATATTTCCTTTACTAACCCAAGCCACTAGGGGGCAATCGTGACATATAGGGAGCCTAAGCCTCCTCCCTTTCCAGGCGGCTCATGGGTTCCTGGAAGAACAAAATAAAAAAAAAAGAAAGAATGCAAGTCAATGGAGCTAAAAGAGGTACCTTCTAATCCGCTTTGCTTTAGGTCCTGGATCATACATTGTTGTACTTCAATTTAAATGAAAAGTAATGCTTCAACCACACCAGTCACGTACTTAGAGATGTATCATCTTGGAAAATTTTGTAATTAGCATGACTACAAACCAGATGTTGCATATATGATGTTACTCCTCTCCTCTAGCATAGCAGCTACTTACCACATGGCTACATTTTTGGTGGTTCTTTCCTCCTGAAAGAAGAATTAGAATTTAGCTGAACTTACAGCCATTTTCCCTCTGTTTTTCTCCGTGTCTTGTTCCGTGACATCACTTTGGTGATGCGCATTTGTAGTCCTGGAATTATTTTGACACAAAACCTAAAGTAACATTTCCCCCCATTCAAAAAATAAGCACTTTCTTGGTATCAAAATGCTTCTTTAAAATTCACGGACATTGTTTGTGAAATCCATGGCACACAACAAGCAGGATTAGAAAATAATGTTTTTAGCGCCATTGACTTGCATTCTTTTTTTCGTTCTTCCGGAGACCATGGTCCGGAAGTAGATGGCGGGACTTAGGCTCCCTATAGGCTTCCTAAAGTGAAGTGGTTACACTCTCCCACTTTGAAGTCGGATTTCAATTACAATTCCTTTAGTTGACTCTGCCTACCAACCTGGTAAATATTGTTTATTTTTTACATGTGTTGCTTTCTTCCCGTGAGCGGTTTTTGTTAAGACACTGCAATTATACACTATAATAGTAAAAAGCGTAAAAACAGAGATTCTAAGAACTGCTGCAGATTAGATAAAAAAATGTTGAATGAGAGCTGAGTTTGTAGTAATTTCTGATTAAAGCTGTTTTTCAGTTTGTTTAATTTGATAAAGAAAAAAGTAGAACATACATCTTCTCTATTCCTGATTCAGTAATAACGGGGTTTGGGTGGAAAGGTCTGGCGGGCTGAATGTGGCCCGCAGGCTGCCAGTTGACATTCATTGATTTAGATGGTCATTGGAAAGTGGTACTAAAAAAATTGACAATAAAGACATTTTTTAAAAATAGGCTACTAAATTAGTTCAAATGTGCACAAATGAATACATTTAACATTGGGTTTTTGAGAAACAAGTTCATAACGCAAATTTAAACATGCTTTAAGTAAGACAAATAAAACTAATGTACTAATTTGGTTCTCGATTAATGAAGCAGGTCTTTTATGTGAATGTTTTACTAGGAAGTGATATGGCCTCCACAATTATTCATGGATAACAAATATATACAATTATGTTTATAATGAAGTTCTTCGTGCACTTCTATGTGAAAGAAAGAACTGATCCACAATGTTTCGCAATTCCAACACAAGAAATGAAAGTAAAATATTGTAATACTGTCATATTTCATTGTTTAAATGAATAAAACTATGCTTTAGTTTGATGTGATGCAATAATACTTCATGCTAAGTATGTTTTATTGTAATATGAAGTTGGGCAGTGCCGTCTCTGAACACGTCTCCTGCCCCTAAAGAACAAGACACAATGCAACGAGACCAGGGATAGATTATAGGGAGTAGACCTAACTGTGAACAGTGGTGAGTGATAATAAAAGACCTCACAACTGTGACCTTGCCCTTGTCTTGCCACTTATCAGACAACAGCTGCACCTCTTTATTCTTCCTCTCGATTAGTATTTTATATCACTGGAAAGACTATTGTTGAACCACAGACCTTTAAGCTGTGCTTGCTGGAGGGATATTTTAGTCAGTTCGGATGCAAAGACACAATTCTTTATACAGTTCCCTTTGAAGTTTTTCGTTAGAGATCAATGTTCAACCACCTTAAAATTTCTTCATGAAAATTTTGGTTTAATTCAACAAAATAAGTAAGTAAAGCAGAAAAATGACATCACTACTTTATTTCTTCATTTTATTTAAAGCATACTTACTATTGGAAAGCCTGTCCCTCAGTAAGAGACATGAGAATGATTTGATATACAATAGTCTGTCCCTTATCCCCCACCTCCTGCCTCCCCCGTCTTTGTCTTGTCCACTCGGGTGTATTAGTCTATTGTTCAAGGTGACAGCAACAAATAGCAGCACTGGGCTCAACCCAGTTTGGAGAATGTGACAGGCAATCTGGATGGCGTTTCTCTGATATTCGTACCCATATTTGGGTGACCTACAACCTTTATTAATGGAGAGACCGCCTGGTGTCAGCCACTGGATCCATCACTTCACTTGACAAGGTTGACTGTAAAAGGTAGGGACAGACAAACTCAGGCGAGGAAAATGTTTTTGGGACTGAACTGATTATTTTTAAACTAATGTAGGCTTTGTAAAACATTTTATAACTAACATTTTGTTGTCTGAAGATTAGCTTTTTTGATTTTATAAGAAAAATTTTATGCTAATAATTATATTTAATGGGCATTCTGTTTTGCTTTTGTCTTTCTAGTATAAACACTGAAAACCTAAGTTTGGCTTTAGAACAACCCAGGTAGAACCACTTTGACTACATTACTGCACACGGGCGCATTGCAATAAGTGACATTGTAGTGACAATTTATTTGTACTAAAAAATAGGTTCAAACTTTTTCAATGAAACTTTGAGTTTAGTTTTGGTCTTTTTTGAACCCCTTTCTATTTTTATCCTATTTGCTATTTTTTTAGAGTTGCATGTACAGCAGTCATATGTGCTCAAAAACTGGTTAAAATTATTGCTGCTGAACGATATTTCCTTTTAGAAAGATTGAAACATGGGTGACGCGGCTATGGCAGAGTTTGGGACTGCTGCTCCTTATCTGAGGAAATCAGACAAGGAGCGTCTGGAGGCCCAAACCCGTCCGTTTGACATGAAGAAGGAATGTTTTGTGCCTGATCCTGAGGTCGAGTACGTAAAGGCATCCGTCACTAATCGTGATGGAGACAGTGCCACTGTCCAAACTGAACATGGAAAGGTAAAACCTCAGTTCAGTTTGAGTAATTTAAACAAGTCGGCTGTGACTTGAGTGTAAGATGTGTCACTTCTTCTCACAGACCGTCACCGTGAAGGAGTGTGACGTTCACCCTCAGAATCCGCCAAAGTTTGATAAAATTGAAGACATGGCGATGTTCACCTTCCTCCATGAGCCAGCTGTGCTGTTTAACCTCAAAGAGCGCTACGCAGCATGGATGATCTATGTGAGTTCAAGTCTGGGTGCTTTTTTTACTCATCGATGAAATATTTTTGCTAAATAAATAATTATTAGTTTCCTCTCTCTCTCTCTCTCTCTCTCTCTCTCTCTCTCTCTCTCTCTCTCTCTCTCTCTCTCTGACATGTCAGACCTACTCTGGGTTGTTCTGTGTGACGGTCAATCCCTACAAGTGGCTGCCAGTCTATAACCAAGAGGTGGTTGTTGCCTATAGAGGAAAGAAGAGGAGTGAAGCTCCTCCTCACATCTTCTCCATCTCTGATAATGCCTACCAGTACATGCTGGCAGGTACATAAATTACATGTGAAAACTGCTATTGCACTGGTGTTATTAGTCCCTCATTTGATCTGTTTTCTTGCTGACAGACAGAGAAAACCAGTCAATCCTCATCACGTGAGTCTCACTGAACTCTAAAATCTTTTCAGCAGCCATAAGTCATAAAATCTCAGCCTAAAACAATGTCTACCTTCACTCAGTGGAGAATCCGGAGCTGGAAAGACTGTGAACACCAAGCGTGTCATTCAATACTTTGCCAGCATTGCTTCTGTCCCCACTGGGAAGAAAGACAGTGCTGCTGAGAAGAAGGTTTCTTCTACATTTGATTAATTAATAAAAAACAAAATTATTAACTGGAAGACAAATTCTATAAGTTTTTACTCTTTAAGTATTTTCTTCAAAGTTGCCAGCATGTCTGATGTTGTGCTAACTTCAGGGCACCCTGGAGGACCAGATCATTCAGGCTAACCCTGCTCTGGAGGCCTTTGGGAATGCCAAGACCATCAGGAATGACAACTCCTCCAGATTTGTGAGTGATCGTGAGGCAGGGTTTAACAGTTTTGGAGATACAAGCAAGTAAATAAAAATGTTTCTTTTTCTTTTAGGGTAAATTCATCAGAATTCACTTTGACAACAGAGGAAAGCTGGCCTCTGCTGACATTGAGACGTGTAAGTACCAAGATTTAGGTCCCGCGTTTGAAAGCTGACTACATTAATTTTTGCCCATAAGAACAAAATAATTCTGTGACAGATCTTCTGGAAAAGTCACGTGTGACCTACCAGCTCAAAGCCGAGAGGGACTACCACATTTTCTACCAGATCTTGTCTCAAGTAAAGCCTGAACTCCTGGGTAAGTGTGCAAAGTAATTTGTGTTTTCAAAGTAAGTCATAACATGTTTTTTTTTTACCAAATATCTTCTTTCTAATTATAGAAATGCTGCTCATCACCAACAATCCCTATGACTACGCCTTCATCTCCCAAGGAGAGACCACAGTGGCCTCCATCAATGACTCTGAGGAGCTGATAGCCACTGATGTGAGATAATTATTGAAATCACAAAAGCAGACAATGCTTAGTCAAATCATAGATGTGAATCCAAATAAACTCCAGAATGGTGGTGCATTTGGTTTCACATAGGAGGCCTTCGATGTTCTGGGCTTCACTCAAGAAGAGAAGAACAGTATTTACAAACAGACAGGTGCCATCATGCACTTTGGTAACATGAAGTTTAAGCAGAAGCAGAGAGAAGAGCAGGCAGAGGCAGATGGAACTGAAGGTAAGGGATGCTGAGGTCTTGTTTATTATTAGTAGAAGTGGCTGTAGATGTTGTGGTTGTTGAACAAAGTCTTTGTATCCATTGAATGAACACATAAAAGTCAAATAACACATTATTCAACTAATTTTAGATTTTCAACGTGGCAAAAACTCGTCTAAAGAAAAATTCCAGTTAAGCAAAGTAAGAAGTGAAATAGAAAATAGTTGCAGAAACTGCTATACAGGAATTACATACAATACATATTCAAAATTTCCATTATTGTTGGGTGGTTGTTCAGAATTTGGTTTGCAGTATGCATTAGGACCTAAGTAATATTAAAGAAAATCAATGAATGTAACCTTATAAGAGAATTTCCCCACAACAAGAGAATCTGGTCTTTTTAAAATTGCACAAAAGAAAATTGTTAAGATCTGAAACTATCTTGCATGCCATACGTAGGTGCACTGCACACGTACTTCTAAAAAAACCTTGTTTTTGACTTTAGCTTTTGTGGGACAGCAGTAGCTCAGGAGTAATTGGAAGGTTGCAGGTTCGATCCCAACTCCCACCAGAGAATGCTGAGATTGTGTCCTTGGGCGAGACACCTAACACGCCTTGCCTGCTGGTGGTGGTGGGAGTGGTAGCGCCAGTGTGTGGCAGGCCTCACCTCTGTCAGTGCGCCTCAGGGCAGCTGTGGCTACGATGTAGCTCATCCCCACCAGCGTGTGATTGTGTGTGTGAATGGGTGAATGACTGATTGTGATGTGAAGTGCCTTGGGGGGTTGGAAAACCATAAGAAAGCGCTATACAAATACAGTCCATTTACCTTATTTTAAACACTTGAGGACATTTTTTGGTGAAAACAACAATTATTTCTCAGATGCATGCTACCGTCCTTTGTTTCTTTGTGGATTATTAAGAAATGTGTTTTCTTATACTTAGATGCTGACAAAGTCGCTTATCTGATGGGCCTGAACTCTGCCGACCTCATCAAAGGACTCTGTCACCCCAGAGTGAAAGTAGGAAATGAGTGGGTCACCAAAGGGCAGAATGTCGCCCAGGTACAGATGTGTGAATGCGGTTTGATTTAAAGGTGTGGTTGACTGAAAAAACAATTTGAAATGATTATTTCTGAATATATTTGGTCACTCTGCATTTTTCACGTTTTCATTTTCTACACCTATCTCCCACGTTAGCTTCTGATAGAAAATAGACGGTGAAATGCTAGGATTTAAAAACCTTCACATTTCTGTTTGCATTCATGGCCTCTCCCATCTTGGTTCGCGTCCGCTCACAGCGAGACTTTTAGAGAACATTATTGCAGAGAGGAGTGAGAGCAGAAAGTGTCTTGGCGATAGTGACTTTGCAACATGGCTGAATGCATCCTGTTAGCCAATCAGAAGCAAGGTGTGTGCATATCATTAATAATAATGAGTAATCGTGCTGCTTTCAGCCCACCTCTACACCAGCAAACTTCTGCATCTCAGAATTGGAGCATCATAGCTTTTTTGTAAATGCCTCATGAGACACTGATTTACACTAGAGAACACTGCAAATGTAATAACCAAGTAAACCACACCTTTAATGCAATGGAAAGTTTTGTTTTAATGTTGCTGATAATTTCCTTTTTCAGGTGTACTATGCTATTGGAGCTCTGTCTAAGGCAGTGTATGAGAAGATGTTTTTGTGGATGGTCATGAGGATTAACCAGTCCTTGGACACCAAGCAGCCCCGTCAGTACTTCATTGGTGTACTGGACATTGCTGGATTTGAGATCTTCGATGTGAGTTTAGAAAGCAAACAGAACCATAACAACATACAATAAAGTTGCTTCACGTTTTACACACCCAAGTTAATTCCTTCCAACTTTCAATGCCATTACAGTTCAACACCTTCGAGCAGCTGTGCATCAACTTCACCAACGAAAAACTGCAACAGTTTTTCAACCACCACATGTTTGTGCTGGAGCAGGAGGAATACAAGAAGGAGGGAATTGAATGGGAGTTCATAGACTTTGGTATGGATCTGCAGGCCTGCATCGATCTGATAGAAAAGGTGAGACAGAGGGTTAACGTGAGTAAATGAAAAAATACCGTTTTTTAAAGATTTATTTGTTTTCTGTTTTAGCCCATGGGTATCATGTCCATCCTGGAAGAGGAGTGCATGTTTCCCAAAGCCAGCGATGCCACCTTTAAAGCTAAGCTTTATGACAACCACCTGGGGAAGTCCAATAACTTCCAGAAGCCAAGAGTTGTCAAAGGAAAACCAGAGGCCCATTTCTCCCTGGTCCACTATGCTGGAACTGTTGATTATAACATCAACAACTGGCTGGTGAAGAACAAGGATCCTCTAAATGAGACCGTTGTTGGTCTTTTCCAGAAGTCCACTGTTAAGCTTTTATCTATACTTTTTGCTGGATATGCAGGAGCTGATTCAGGTATGTGGGCATGTACTTGTGATACATACAGGTATATTAAAAACCAATGATTGATCTCTGATGCAACAATTGCATTAGTTCTGGTTTGATTTTTTTAATAGCTCAGGATTCTGGGAAGGGCAAAGGAAAGGCAAAGAAAGGCTCATCTTTCCAAACTGTGTCTGCCCTTCACAGGGTATGGAGTATTTCATCTTACTTTGATACATTATTGGGAGTGGGGGGCATGCTTTACCTGGAGATGAAGCTATCAAGAGGTTCATGTTGATTGTAGCAATTTTTGACATTACTAGAATAACTAAAATGATCTTTAATGATTAATTTTCAGGAGAACCTGAACAAACTGATGACCAACTTGAGGTCCACCCACCCCCACTTTGTACGCTGCATCATCCCCAATGAGACCAAGACTCCTGGGGCCATGGAGAACCCTCTGGTGATGCACCAGCTGCGCTGTAACGGTGTTCTGGAAGGCATCCGGATCTGCAGGAAGGGCTTCCCCAACAGGATCCTCTACGGAGATTTCAAGCAGAGGTACGTCTCAGACGAGTCATCCCATATTATAAAACACTGATAAAAGAATCAGTCACATCTGTTGTTCTCTTTTCAAAGGTACCGCATCCTGAACCCAAATGCTATTCCAGAGGGACAGTTTATTGACAACAAAAAAGCTGCTGAAAAACTATTGGGTTCTTTGGATATTGACCACAACCAGTACAAACTGGGACATACCAAGGTTAGAACTTCCATTGTCAACAGGAAGTGCACACCTCATACAGCATGACTAAGTAAACTTCTGTTCCCTTACAATAGGTGTTCTTCAAGGCCGGACTCCTGGGCCAGCTTGAAGAGATGCGAGATGATCGTTTAGCGTTAATTATCACAGGTATCCAAGCTCGCTCAAGAGGTCTTTTGGCAAGAGTTGAGTTCCAGAAGATTGTTGAGCGCAGGTACAAACTAAAACTCAGTTATGATGTAAAAAGTAAAGTACTTTACATTGATTAGCTGCATTATTAATGGCACACAGAGATGCACTACTTGTGATCCAGTGGAACATCCGAGCCTTCATGGGGGTCAAGAATTGGCCCTGGATGAAGATGTACTTCAAAATCAAACCTCTGCTGAAATCAGCAGAGACCGAGAAGGAGATGGCCAACATGAAGGAAGAATTCACCAAACTGAAGGAGGCTTATGCAAAGTCTGAAGCTCGTAGGAAGGAACTAGAGGAGAAAATGGTCTCTCTTCTCCAAGAGAAGAACGACCTGCAGCTCCAAGTCCAGACTGTACGTTATAGCAGATTATTGTTCACATCAAAATCATCTCATTGTATGATAACAACACTCCACGTAATAAATTATAGGAGCAAGATAATCTCTCTGATGCTGAAGAGCGTTGTGAGGGTCTGATCAAGAGCAAGATTCAGCTGGAAGCAAAAATCAAAGAGCTGACTGAAAGGCTGGAGGACGAAGAGGAGATGAATGCTGAGCTGACTGGAAAGAAGAGGAAGCTGGAGGATGAGTGCTCTGAGTTAAAGAAGGATATTGATGACTTAGAGCTCACTCTGGCAAAAGTAGAGAAAGAGAAGCATGCCACTGAGAACAAGGTACTAAAGACATGCGCTACTTTACTGAAATTAGTGACGATTTTCTGATTATTCTATGAAAACCTAATAAAAGTCGTTCCTGGCTACAGGTCAAGAACCTGACAGAGGAGATGGCTGCTTTGGATGAAATCATTGCCAAGCTGACCAAGGAAAAGAAAGCCTTACAGGAAGCTCATCAGCAAACGCTGGATGACCTGCAGAGTGAGGAAGACAAAGTCAACACTCTGACCAAGGCCAAGGCCAAGCTGGAGCAGCAAGTGGACGATGTGAGAGTTTACACAATTAAGTGGACTAAAAACTATTTAGTTAAGTTAATCAAATTCTCTTCTTTAACAACTCTCTGCAGCTTGAAGGGTCCTTAGAGCAAGAAAAGAAAATCCGTATGGACCTGGAGAGAGCAAAGCGGAAGCTTGAAGGAGACTTGAAGCTGGCCCAAGAAAGTATCATGGACCTGGAGAATGACAAGCAGCAGCTTGAAGAGAGGCTGAAGAAGTAAGAAGTCCTAATTAAAGAATGCTAGATTTAGAAAATACCTTTTATATTTTTGACTCATTTCATCTTTAGGAAAGATTTTGAAATAAGTCAGCTGAACGGGAAAATAGAGGATGAACAAGTTATGAGTGCCCAACTCCAGAAGAAACTGAAGGAGCTGCAGGTCAAAATTCACACAAAAAACTTCAAAATGACGTTAAAAATTATTAGGATAATGAAGATTATAAAAGTAGCTTGTGTTTGTTCTAGGCCCGTATAGAAGAGCTGGAGGAAGAGCTGGAGGCAGAGCGAGCTGCTCGAGCCAAGGTGGAGAAGCAGAGAGCAGACCTGGCCAGAGAGCTGGAGGAGATCAGTGAGAGGCTGGAGGAGGCTGGAGGAGCCACAGCCGCCCAGATCGAGATGAACAAGAAGAGGGAGGCTGAGCTCCAGAAGCTGCGCAGAGACCTTGAAGAGGCCACGCTGCAGCATGAAGCCACCACCGCTACACTCAGGAAGAAACAAGCTGACAGCGTTGCTGACCTGGGAGAGCAGATCGACAACCTGCAGAGAGTCAAGCAGAAACTGGAGAAGGAGAAGAGCGAGCTCAAACTGGAACTTGATGACGTGGTCTCCAACATGGAGCAGATTGTCAAGACTAAGGTACGTATGGTGAATGGTGCTTTACTGGAAGTTGGCTGATGATGAATACTTTATTGTTGTTGAAGATGAGTTAACACTGGGAATGTGTGTGTTCTTTTTTCCTAGAACCACCTGGAGAAAATGTGTAGGTCTCTGGAGGACCAGTTAAACGAATATAAAACAAAGGCAGACGAGGGACAGCGAACCATCAATGACTTCACCACGCAGAAGGCTAAGCTCCAAACTGAAAACGGTACTCTCATTATTACAAAACTTCAACATTTAATTTGTAGCAATAAGGAAACTTAAAAAAAACGTCCTGCTTCTATCAGGTGAACTGACAAGAATTTTGGAGGAAAAGGATTCCCTGCTTTCCCAACTCACCCGAGGAAAACAGTCCTACACACAACAAATTGAAGATCTCAAAAGACAACTGGAGGAAGAAATCAAGGTAGAAATAAATTGAGACTCTATCAAATACAAAATGCAAGCTGATTCAAGCAAATTAAGACAACTGCTTTCATTCCAGGCCAAGAACGCATTAGCCCATGCTGTGCAGTCTGCTCGTCATGACTGTGACCTCCTCAGGGAGCAGTACGAGGAGGAGCAGGAGGCCAAGGCTGAACTGCAGCGCGGCATGTCCAAGGCCAACTCTGAGGTGGCTCAGTGGAGAACCAAGTATGAAACTGATGCCATCCAGAGGACCGAGGAACTGGAGGAAGCAAAGTGAGGAAAGGAGTACTTAACCAGAGTAACTCAGACACATTAGCAGCGTTTAACCCTGGAAACCACTTCTGTTACTCAGGAAGAAGCTGGCTCAGCGTCTGCAGGAGGCCGAGGAGGCCGTTGAAGCAGTGAATGCTAAATGTTCCTCTCTGGAGAAGACCAAACACAGGCTGCAGAATGAGATCGAAGATCTCATGGTGGATGTGGAGAGGTCCAACGCTGCTGCTGCTGCTCTGGACAAGAAGCAAAGAAACTTTGACAAGGTTTGCATTCTGTGACCCTTGGTTACTTTGACCACATCTAAAGAATACATGATCTATATAAAACATACATCGTCTTTCAGGTTCTGGCAGAGTGGAAGCAGAAGTACGAAGAGTCTCAATCAGAGCTGGAGAGCTCCCAGAAGGAAGCCAGATCTCTGAGCACGGAGCTCTTCAAACTTAAAAACTCCTATGAAGAGTCTCTTGAGCATCTGGAGACCATGAAGAGAGAGAACAAGAACTTACAAGGTCAGTCAGTGAACGGTCAGAACTTTACGACAAAGAACGATTCCTAGAATGTCAACATTTTTCTCTTAGAGGAAATATCTGACCTGACTGAACAAATTGGTGAGGGAGGAAAGAACATTCATGAGCTTGAGAAGATTCGAAAGCAGCTGGAACAAGAGAAGTCTGAGATTCAAACTGCTCTGGAAGAAGCAGAGGTAGGATTCAAACAACACCTAGCTCTTGAATTCCAAAACACTCAATCAGGTGATGATTCCTAACACTGGATCTGTGTTTTCTCTCCTCGAGGCCTCACTAGAGCACGAGGAAGGGAAGATTCTCAGAGTCCAGCTTGAGCTGAACCAAATAAAGGCTGACTTCGAGCGTAAGCTGGCTGAGAAGGAGGAAGAAATGGAGCAAAATAAGAGAAACCAACAAAGAGCTGTGGACACTCTTCAGAGCTCTCTGGAGGCTGAAACTCGAAGCAGGAACGAAGCTCTCCGCTTGAAGAAGAAGATGGAGGGAGACCTGAATGAGATGGAGATCCAGCTGAGCCAAGCCAACAGGCAGGCGGCCGAGGCTCAGAAACAACTCAAGGCTGTTCACGCTCATCTCAAGGTTTGAACTTTATTCAAAGATTTCTTTAATCATTCCGTCAAACTTAATGCAGCTCAGTATTCAAAATAGAAAGCAAACTTTAGTATTTTCATTGTATTTTGATACATATTTCCATTTCATATGTTAGGATAGCCAAATGTCTGAGAGCGAATGCAAGCAGACACGAGTTTGTAAGGGTTAGCAACATTTTAGCATTTTTCATTCAAAATAAATCAAAAACCAAAACCATGTGGATCAGACTGCAATACACAAAAAAGCTGACTGAAGTCAACAGCAACCAATGTTTTGCCATTATTGTGAACTGTGTCGCCCCCCAACATATGTATTTGCCTCATTGTATACTTCCTGTCCATCTCCAGGATGCTCAGCTTCAGCTTGATGAATCTATGCGAGCCAATGATGACATGAAGGAAAACATCGCGATTGTTGAGAGACGCAACAACCTGATCCAGGCCGAGCTGGAGGAACTGAGAGCAGCTCTGGAACAAACCGAGAGAAGTCGTAAACTCGCTGAGCAAGAGCTGATGGATGTCAGCGAGAGGGTGCAGCTGCTGCACTCCCAGGTGGGATTCCTTTTGCATCAGTCCTTTTATATTTGTGTTGATTCACTGACGTGTTTCATGTCACACTTTTCATTTTACCAGAACACCAGCCTGCTAAACCAGAAGAAGAAACTGGAGGCTGATTCAGTCCAGCTTCAAACCGAAGTGGAGGAGGCGGTGCAGGAATGCAGGAACGCCGAAGAGAAGGCCAAGAAGGCCATCACTGATGCTGCCATGATGGCAGAGGAGCTGAAGAAAGAGCAGGACACCAGCGCTCACCTGGAGCGCATGAAGAAGAACATGGAGCAGACCATCAAAGACCTGCAGCACCGTCTGGATGAAGCTGAGCAGATCGCCATGAAGGGAGGCAAGAAGCAGGTGCAGAAGCTCGAGGCCCGGGTAAGAGCATTTTCAGCTGGGTTAAATAACAAAGATTTAAAAATAAATCTAATTTTTATTCTGGAGAAATGTTTGAATTCAAATAATTTTCTTCACAAAAATGGCAAAAGTGTGTGGTTAGTAATAGTCAATATTTGATTCCTCAACAGATTAAGGAACTGGAAAATGAGGTTGAAGCTGAGCAACGAAGGTCCAGTGATTCTGTCAAAGGAATCCGGAAATATGAACGACGCATTAAAGAGCTGACCTATCAGGTGACTTTCATTCCTTCTAAAATGTAGTCTAAAGACAAACTAACACTTTAGTTGCAGAGATGTGAATTATCAATACCAAAGTGTCAACAAACATATGTTTTGAAACAGTAAATCACAGGTTTTACTGTCTGTTTATAAGATGTAAACCACTGCAGATTTTAATAACAGTTTACTTTTACATTTCAGACTGAAGAGGACCGCAAAAACCTCACCCGTCTGCAAGATCTGGTAGACAAGCTGCAACTTAAAGTGAAATCCTACAAGAAAGTTGCAGAGGAGTCTGTAAGTACCGTGGCATTCTCAAACAAACAGGATTTGTTACTAAGCTGGACCATGTGACCAAAAAAACCAAAATGTACTTTGCACCAGACAAACAAAACTCACTTTCAATGAATCTGAGTTATGCATATGCCCTTTTTAATAATAACATTTCTTATCTTCGGAATAGGGGTTGATAAGGAGATGATGTTGTTTGTTCTACAGGAGGAACAGGCTAACAATAACCTGACCAAGTTCCGTAAGCTTCAGCATGAGCTCGATGAAGCGGAAGAGAGAGCCGACATCGCCGAGTCTCAGGTCAACAAGCTACGCGCCAAGAGCCGTGACATCGGGCCGAAGGTCAGTTAATACATTTAGATATACGTTATTGCTGCTAACATACAAAAAATCTTTGTTATCAACTGTTGAATGGTGGACCTTATCAAAATGTATTAAAGCCATGACAATGTCTTCAACACCAAACACATGCCTGAAATCCTAAAACACACACTATACCAGCTAAAAAGTTAATTGTTGTTTTGGTTCATGTTTTTTTTCCTCTGTGCTTTCAGAAAGCTCACGATGAAGAGTGAAGCATGACTCGCTGTTCCTGAGACATCTTAATTATGATGTGTCCCTATGCATGCAGCTTGTTCAGTAGAATTAAAGGAAATAGCATCTGAAACCAGGCCATGAGTCATTTTTGCACCAGTACGGCATTTCTGCAAACCAAATACTTTCAGTTGAGTACTACTGAGTATTGACAAATGCACCAACCTAAGAATCAGTAAGGTAAGGTAAAAAAAAAAAAAAAAAACATGGAGTAACGCTTCAGTAACATTTATATGGACTTGATGTAAAGTTAAAAGCTAAACAGAAGTGAATGCCATCTCCCAAAGCTGAAATACTAAAAGGATGAGAATCATTCACAGCAAACTGGTAGATGAGTCCCACAGCGAGAGTGACTTGATTGACCAACAAACAAACAAATGGCCTACTGCAGCTCTAAGGACAATTATACGACACAGCATCTCGCCATGCTTGCAGCTGTGTTGGTACAACGGATCATCAAGACTCTTTTTTGCTCTGCTGAATAAAAATAAACTTCTAAGTTTCAGATCTTTAACCTTCTGCCTGCGATTCTAAAAGCAGCTGTTCAACAACCCTCCTGCTTCTAATCAAAACATGCTGCCAAACAGAGCAGTGACCGGCTGTAACAGATGTGTTTGACACTTTTACTCAAACTAAACTTCAATCCGGTGATGGTTCAAACTGTAGGAGTACACACACTGGCACACCACTGTTCACACATGTTCTGCAGAGTTATGTAGATGCTGCTGTTTTCTGCTGCAACTGGAAGGCTCCTGCAAGCTGATTTTCCGTGACATCAGAAGACCTTTTTTTGAGAATCAGTTTATGAACACAGCAACGGGCCGAGGCCCCGATATCTGTGCATATCATTTGACAAAGAGAAAAAATAAATGGTTGTCAGGAAACTGACTTTTCTCAGAGTTCAGTGACTTCTGTACAGAACTGTTTTACCAACAAAGACATGAGTGCAAAAAGAACTGAATAAACATGCACGTTGCGTTCATCAAAGTTTAACAACGAATACAAATAGTCATTTATTCATATTGGTGGTTTTCTGAAATCTATCAGCATCTCTCAGATTAAAAATAGGAGATTTTTTATTGGAAAACTACAATTAGTGGATATCCTTCTATTCAATGGTTTGCTAAAAATAAAAAAAAAACAATACCTACAGGATCATTTACTGTATAATTTATGCCTCAAACATTTCTTACTAACAGCCATTAAAAAAGGGCAAGGCATCATTGCTTGTTTAGCACATTTCATACACAGAGGCAATTCAACGTGCTTCCCAGAGCAAAAACAGCAAAATCAACATGACAACATAATTAAAATATACAAATACATTTAGATCAAATTAAATGCAAAAATTAAATTAATATTTAAGAATGAGATAAAAGGTAGGGTTAAAGAGTGAGCCGTTACAGTGCAGAAGGTGCAGCAGAAGAGACATTCATTCAAAGGATGATGAAGACATGAAAGTTTTCAATTTTGATTTAAAAGGTACTAAAGTTGAAGCAGATCTGAGGTCACGAGGAAGCTGATTGCATGTGTGAGCAGCATAGTAGCTAAAAGCAGCTGGAGGTCTACCAGCTGACTGTTTCCTGAGCTCTGCAAGGAGATCCAACATGTATGTTGGCCCCATGCCAATGAGTGATTTATAAACTAGTAGATGCCCTTTGTAACTGTATTTTACTGGTAGTAACCGGTTTAACAAGTGTTCCTATTCATTTTGAAATGCGTTTCACCATCAATTGTATCTTTCACCACAATACGTGTCATAACTGACAACTGCTGTTTATAGCAGATTGAGAAAACATATTAGAAATGCTTTATCAGTCATTTATATTAGTACAAATCTTTAGGCACATTTGGTAAAAGTTATCTGTATATTGTTGTGAAAGCAGCCGTTACTTCCCCAAACTCTAGCAAACCACTACATTGTACTTCTCAATGGAAAACCTCTCCAGTGAATCCATCAATCATTTTAAATAAAAAAGTTCAGCTTTGAAATGGATCAAATGGTCGTATTTGTTAAAGCATTAACATAAATGTGACATGACCCTTTTTAATGACTTCAATGTTTTATTTTGTACTATTTAGATTGTAATGGCTGTTCCATCAAAACAGTGTTATTTTTTTTCAACAAGTCTATTACACTTTAAATGGACAAATCCCAGTATGGGATCACAATAGCTGACTGCATTTGCAAGAGGATGACCAACAATTGCACTTTAAAAAAGGGTGTTATGGATGTTTAATTGTGAAATAAGGTTTACATAGATGTCATAGATATTTTTGCACCTATTTTTAATCAAATATCTACATTTTAATAATGACTGACTCATAAGCTCACCTGTTGCTGTGACAAGATCATCTGAAGGGAGTCTCCATCTTCTAATTTATGATGCTTCACAAAACCAGCTCGTGATGTCTTGAATTGTTTTAAGAGAGAGAAAAAACACATAAGATAACTCAAATTTTGTTTTCTTTCAAGAATCACGTCACCGTGCAAAACCACAGTGTCCATTTGTGCAACTCAAATGGTTTTGAAGCAACTCTATTTTTAAAAAGAATTATTTATGTGAAATGTGTTGATTTGCATAAATACTGCATTACTATCACTTCACTAGTTACAGTTACAAACAATACTTTCATTTTACTTTTAAATGTTACATTTAAAAAGTACAGCAGGTACAAAGCACAAGCATAAAACATGTTTAAAATTTCCACAAATCCATGATGTAAAGAGACCCATTCCTACCTTTTTTCTCCATTTTGGTTTCATGTAATGTTGAGTCTCAAACAGCAAACCGAGCTTTTATTCTGCAGACGTTTTATAGATCTGAGTGCATGCTGCAGCACCAACCTGTGACTACTTCATTATATGAATGGGGGCAAGGAGAAAGGCAAGACAAGAGAAGGACATGTGGAGGCAGGGACACATGTTCAACACCTCCTCAAGTGACCATGGGTAAATAACAAGCATTCTAACAATAGCAAGTTCATCTGAAACCACAGGTGTCAAAGACTTTAAACTTAGGAGACACAAGATGCATATCATCTCCTCTTGTGAAGATGTGTAGTCAGAGATGCTGTAGACAGCTGGGAATTGGACCTTTAACCAAGGACAAACTGCGATGCCTGGAATAGGTCTGAGTTGAGTGAAGGAGCTCTTGTGGGTCTTATGGATGACATGCAGCATATATATTCCCTACACTGGCTTCCAGTCTCTTTTAGAATTTTGTTTAAAGTTCTGGTGTTTGTTTTGAAATGTTTAAACGAGTTGGCTCGTCGTTATCTATCGGATCTGATCCATCCTTATGTTCCCGCAAGGAACCTTCGGTCGGCACAACAAGGACTGCTGGTCGTTCCTAAACACAGACTGAAATCTCGAGGGGGTCATGCTTTCTCTGTGCTGGGGCCGAGGCTCTGGAATGAGCTACCTACATGGGTTAAACAGGCCACCACGCTCGGCAAGTTTAAGAGCCAGCTGAAAACACACTTTTATTCTTTAGCTTTTATTCAAGAAGAGTCTCTTTAACGGATGGCTTTGCACTTTTTTGCTGCCCCACCAAGATTTTATCTACACGTTTTTGTTGGTTTTTAAATGGTTTTATACGTTTTTATTTTTTATGTTTATGTCTGCTGTGCAGCACTTTGTTTGGTCCTTGGGCCACGTGAAGGCGCTATATAAATAAAGTTTAGTAGCAGTAGTAGTAGTAATATATTAAATATGTGTAGCGAACAATAAAAAAATCCCTGTATAAGTCACTGGAACATCATTTAGCGTTATCATTTAATGAGATTTACTTTCTCTATTGCCTCTGTTGCATCAACAGGGTCATAGACCAAACACTTTCCCTGTTCCCACTATTCTGTTTTCATTTTGTTTAGAGCAAGGAGGTAATAGAAGAACCTGACAGAGAGAACAATTTCTCTGCTGGAATAACGACTGGTGCATTAGAACAAGTAAGCTGACTGACTGATCCATGGAGAACACGATGTAACTGGGGAGCAGAGGGAAATAAACAATGGTGCCTCAGCTTATAGCTGAAAGTTTTATTCTATTTTTTAATCTTATTATTCATGTTATATGTAGCACATTAGTACCAAAGCAAGTTCCTAGTTTGTGAATTGTTTGTTCACTGACAATGGCAATAAACCTTTTCTGATTCTGATCTGATTCTGATTCCTAACTGGCTAAGTAATGTTAGTGCAACCGTCTGCGTTGTGTTTATTGTGCTGACGGTACCTGTGAGGGATCTGGAGGTTGGCCATGCCGCTGCTCAGGTAGAGTTTGAAACTCTCATTGCTGGTTGGGTGGCCACTAGAGCAGTTGAGAAGGTTCAGGGGACCAAAATTAGTGAAATACCTCATGAAGGTGCAGAAAACGCAGGTAGAGGGTTGACTGTGACAACTGCTGACATATCTACTAAAAACAGTTCAAGCATTAATAATAAACTATGGCCATTATAGAGGCTCTGGAATAAGATCAATCTGTGATGTTTTACATAGAAGGTGCTTGAGATTGGACCTTAGAACAGAAACTGGAGGCAAGGGATTCAACTAAACACTCAAACACCCTCTGGGGATTTGCAGATTTGCGACTCTGTGGGAGAGTTGTCTTCCCAAACCCTCACAGAACCAAGAACCTGAAGTGTCTTGCACATCAAAAGATGGTGTGCAACATGTTCAGTAATGAAACTTGTACAGACCTTTATTCCACCACAGATTGCTATGGAGTTTGCTGTATAAAAGGTGGTTTTTAAAACTCTAAAAAGACAATACTGAAAAACACTGAAGGTGCTGCAGCATCAGAGGACAAGGAAGAAACTGCATCCCCAGAGAGTTCTGGGGCTGGTATAGTGATGCAGAAATCTGATCAAGGCTGTGCACCTCCAGCATTATCCCCAGAGCCTCTGGAAATATGTCAAGCTTGACATTCTATGGAGGCAAAGCAATTTCCTGGAATTTCTGGGGAACTTCTCCAAGGGCTCTAAAGCCTGGCCCACACTGAGCTTTCTGGCCATCCTAGACAAATTCCTCACTGTGAACAGTCGTGTCAAAAAACGATGAACTTGAGAGGGATTTAAATATCTGTGGTCGTCCAGCGCGACTGGCCCAAGGACAGCTTATTGAGCACTTTCACGACCAAATTCACCCTCCAACAGTCTTCAAGCAGTGTCAGAAAACCTACAACTCCAGTCTGCAAGTGACCAATGAAAATACACCCAGGGAGTGTCGCAAAAAACGAGTGATGAGAGTACAATGCAAGAGTAGAACTAGCAACTTTAGCTACAGTGGAGGCTACATGCAGGAACACGTGGACCATTTCTTTTTTGATTTTTGTTTGAAGCCTAATAAAGGAAGTGTTAAGGAGGAGCTTTTTTCTCTTTTCATCAGTGTGACATGGGTAGCTGTCGGCTTTTAGTGATACATGCCTTTCAACGAGTGCGCTTCACTAGCATGTCCTGCTAAAGACGGGCAGTCTGGCTCACTGAAATCTTAGACCAGCGGGCCACCTCTCTAGAATCCTCACAGTGTGCCATGAAGTAGTCCTGTCCAACAGCCTAAAAATGCATAATGTGGCATGGGCATGAAGCTCTGGAAAAGACCTCCTCGATGATGTAACTATGATGTCTTACAAAGAAGTGTTGTGTAGATGACCCTCCCCCTTGAAAGTGGGATCTGAAAGGCAAGACCTGGGAGAAAATCCAACTGAATTTCAAAACTTGACTTTAGTCAGAAGTTAATTTGAACTGTTGTTAATGGTAAAGATGTTTATCATAACAAATAGTAAATCTTGTGTATAACCTTACAGAATTCTAGATGTTTTAAAGTCTTAGGGATATAAATAAATGATTAATGAAAAAAAAGGTAAATACAAAATTTCGATGCATGCGTCTTGTTGGTCTTAAACTTATAATTTAGAAAGTTTTTTTGACCACGTTTCCTGCCGTATCATTTGCTAATGTTCAGCAAACATATGAGCAAACGTTTTAATGTTCCAAACCAATCAGGCAAAACAGATGACACACCTTTTATGCCCTGAGTTTACTTAGCTGTCAGTGCACCATAAGATTCAAAATATCACTATGGTCTTTTTGTTATAGATAGCATTCTGGACCACCTGTCTTTCCAATTTGATTTATTTTTATTATAGAATTTTAACTAAAATGTTTCTGATCAATGTCAGTCCAACCAATCAGACAAAAATGCCCAAGTTAGCCTTTGCCTTATCCCCTTAGCCTGGTAAGCTATCCTAAGTGAATATAGACCTGAATAAACGACCTGCAGAGAAAAAACTTTTTGCTGCTGCTGTGGTCTGTCTAGATTTCTAGGCAACTATCCGCTAGCATCTGAAGGGAAGTGCAAAAGTGTTTTACAGATGTTTGGTCCTTTACACTTAATAAGTACAGATATTTAAACTGCAAAGAGTATACTCTTGTGCTTTTAAAAATGCTCAGTTATTATTTGATTTTGACATAGAAGTAATCAAACATTTAAGGTTAAATTAAGGTTTCTGAGAAGTTTAAATGGCTTCTCTACATGAAGACCCTATAAGTGCCCACATGTCAAACTCCATTAACTCATATGTGAATAAATGGAATTTTAAAAGATTAATGTTCAGCATGAATTTAAAAGAGTGTATGTTATTTTAGTCTTTCTTCCTGTCTTTTCCTCATTTATCACCTGCTGCTGCTCCACATGTAGGAACACTTTGGTCGTGCGTCAGAAGCTGACCCTCAGCTGTCCAATAAATCGCCTGTGGTGTGAAGGCAGTCAGGCAAGAATTTCACAAGATATCTTTGTGTCCAACAATACAGTGCAGTGCCAAGCTTCAGGAACAAAGGGTGGGATCATACATTTAGTTGAATGAAATGAAAACTGATTGCAAAATTTTGTTTTTATCAGCTCAATTGTAGTTGAAAAAAGTTTCTAAAATAGCAGTTTAGGGGAGTGAGTTCAGCATTCAGTATGTTGGATGTTTTTTTTCTAAACAAGGCGCTGCTGTACTTTTGTATTTTTTGATAACTTGTAAAATATGTGGTTAACAAAAGGTAATCTAAACAAAAAAAATAAACAACCTACTCTTCAACGATTTCTATATAAACAAAAGGTTTGTTTAAAGAACAAGTTCACTGAGAAACAATGTTTTTTAACTTATTTTGGAAATATGATTGATCACACAGAGATTAACATGCAGGCTAAACGTGAAAGTAGTCAACCCCCTTTTTTCTGCATTAGTCACACATAGAAAATCGACGAGGAAACGCTTGAATTAGAAAAGCCAGACCATTCTGTGTCACACTGAAAATGAACATTCCAGGACTCACCCATCTTGGCTCAAGATACTGAAGGCTGTTGTTGATTAGGACAGCAGTAGCTCGGGAACTAGAGTAATCGGAATGTTGCAGGTTCGGTACCGGTTCCTATGAATACTGCTGTTGTGTCTTTGGGCAAGACGCTTAACCCGCCTTGCCTGTTGGTGGTGGTCAGAAGGACCGGTGCCAGTGTTCAGCAGTCCCGCTTCCCTCAGTGCGCCCAAGGGCAGCTGTGGCTGCATTGTAGCTCATCATCATCAGAGTGTGAATGACTGATTGTGTTGTGAAGCGCCTTGGGGGTTTGTAGAGTGTTAAGAAGGCGCTATACAAATACAGGCCATTAAGAATCCAGGAGAGAGAAGAGCTCATCTTGGCTAATAGAAGGTAACCGTTAGCATTAGCAACTCCACAACATGGCAGAACTCCTTCAGTCTTGTGTTATTTGTGGAGATAAAACATCAACATAGCAAAGCAGACAGAGTCAGTGGTAGAGTTGTGTTGCTGTTAGCCAATCAGAGGCGAGATGTCCGAATATGAGAACGCAAGACTCCAAATCCTGCCATCTTCTCCTCCTCTCTTCTTTGGATCAATTCTAGTTAATGAAAATGGAGCGCCAGAGCTTTTTAACCACAGAGGCAAGGCAGCTTTATTTATATAACACATTTCATACACAGAGGCAATTCAATGTGCTTTCCATAAGCAAGAATATCAAGAACATTAAGATCAGCATGACAGAAAATACAATTTGAAAATTAAAAACAAACAAAGTTAAGGGGTGAGCAAATACAGTGCAGAAGGCAGCATAAGAGCATTGATTCAAAAGCTGATGAAAACATGAAGGTTTTCAATTTTGATTTTAAAGTTTCTTGAGTTGGGGCACATTGGAGGTCGTGTGGAAGCTGATTCCATCTGTGTGCAGCATAGTAGCTACAAGCAGCTTCACCCTGTTTGGTTCTGACCCGGTTCTACCAGCTGACTCAAGAGTCCTGCTGAGCATAGATCTGACATGTATTCTGGCCCCACACCACTGAGTGATTTATAAACTAGTAGAAGTACTTTGAAATCAATTCTGTAGTTTACTGGTAACCAGAGTAGAGATTTAAGAACAGTGATGTGTTTGGTTCTCTTGGTTCTTGCTGACTCTAGCAGAAGCATTTTGAATAAGCTGCAGCTTTTTTGGGGAAGACCAGTCAAAAGACCATTGCAATGGTCCAGCCTGCTCTAGATGAACGCATGAATGAGTTTCTCTAGGTCTTATCTGGACATGAGGCCCCTGAGTCGTGCTATTTGATGAAGATGATAAAACACTGATCTAGTTATAGCCTTAATGTGACCTGTGAAGCTCAGGTTTGAATCAGTTATGACACCAAGATTTCTAACCTGGGTCTTTGTCTTTTTTCCTCTGGAGCCAAGTTGAGCAATAACCTCCATCCTATCCTTCTTGTTTCCAAAGAAAATAACTTCAGTCTTGTTTTTGTTTAACTGGAGGAAGTTTGATTGTATCCAATCCTTAACTTGCTCCAAACACTGATAATGAGTCCAGGGGACTAGGTGATAGTGCTGACATCAGGTTGACTCATAAAGCATTTATTGGTACTACAGACCGCTGCAGATGTGTAGAAAAATCGTGTGAACTTGGTCTTTAATGTAAATAATATTTAATATCAAAATATAGGTGCTGGTCGTAAAATTAGAAAATCATGACAACGTTTATTTAATTCATTCAGAAAGTTAAACTTGTATATTAGATGCATGCATTACACACATACTTATATAAATGCATGCATTACACACAGACTTATATAAATGCATGCATTACACACAGACCTATATAAATGCATGCATTACACACAGACCTTTATAAATGCATGCATTACACACAGACTTATATAAATGCATGCATTACACACAGACTTATATAAATGCATGCATTACACACAGACTTATATAAATGCATGCATTACACACAGACTTATATAAATGCATGCATTACACACAGACTTATATAAATGCATGCATTACACACATACTTATATAAATGCATGCATTACACACAGACTTATATAAATGCATGCATTACACACAGACCTATATAAATGCATGCATTACACACAGACCTTTATAAATGCATGCATTACACACAGACTTATATAAATGCATGCATTACACACAGACTTATATAAATGCATGCATTACACACAGACTTATATAAATGCATGCATTACACACAGACTTATATAAATGCATGCATTACACACAGACTTATATAAATGCATGCATTACACACAGACCTATATAAATGCATGCATTACACACAGACCTATATAAATGAATGCATTACACACAGACTTATATAAATGCATGCATTACACACAGACTTATATAAAATGCATGCATTACACACAGACTTATATAAAATGCATGCATTACACACAGACTTATATAAATGCATGCATTACACACAGACTTATATAAATGCATGCATTACACACAGACCTATATAAATGCATGCATTACACACAGACTTATATAAATGCATAAATTACACACAGACTTATATAAATGCATGCATTACACACATACTCATATAAATGCATGCATTACACACAGACTTATATAAATGCATGCATTACACACAGACTTATATAAATGCATGCATTACACACAGACTTATATAAAATGCATGCATTACACACAGACTTATATAAATGCATGCATTACACACAGACTTATATAAATGCATGCATTACACACAGACCTATATAAATGCATGCATTACACACAGACCTATATAAATGCATGCATTACACACAGACTTATATAAATGCATGCATTACACACAGACCTATATAAATGCATGCATTACACACAGACTTATATAAATGCATGCATTACACACAGACCTATATAAATGCATGCATTACACACAGACTTATAAAAATGCATGCATTACACACAGACTTATATAAATGCATGCATTACACACAGACTTATATAAAATGCATGCATTACACACAGACTTATATAAATGCATGCATTACACACAGACCTATATAAATGCATGCATTACACACAGACTTATATAAATGCATGCATTACACACAGACCTATATAAATGCATGCATTACACACAGACTTATAAAAATGCATGCATTACACACAGACCTATATAAATGCATGCATTACACACAGACTTATATAAATGCATGCATTACAAACAGACCTATATAAATGCATGCATTACACACAGACCTATATAAATGCATGCATTACACACAGACTTATATAAATGCATGCATTACACATAGACCTATATAAATGCATGCATTACACACAGACTTATATAAATGCATGCATTACACACAGACCTATATAAATGCATGCATTACACACAGACTTATATAACATGCATGCATTACACACAGACTTATATAAATGCATGCATTACACACAGACTTATATAAATGCATGCATCACACACAGACCTATATAAATGCATGCATTACACACAGACTTATATACATGCATGCATTACACACAGACCTATATAATTGCATGCATTACACACAGACTTATATAAATGCATGCATTACACACAGACCTATATAAATGCATGCATTACACACAGACTTATATACATCCATGCATTACACACAGACCTATATAAATGCATGCATTACACACAGACCTATATAAATGCATGCATTACACACAGACTTATATAAATGCATGCATTACACACAGACCTATATAAATGCATGCATTACACACAGACTTATATAAATGCATGCATTACACACAGAGTTATATAAAATGCATGCATTACACACAGACTTATATAAATGCATGCATTACACACAGACTTATATAAATGCATGCATTACACACAGACCTATATAAATGCATGCATTACACACAGACCTATATAAATGCATGCATTACACACAGACGTATATAAATGCATGCATTACACACAGACCTATATAAATGCATGCATTACACACAGACCTATATAAATGCATGCATTACACACAGACTTATATAAATGCATGCATTACACACAGACTTATATAAATGCATGCATTACACAAAGACTTATATAAATGCATGCATTACACACAGACCTATATAAATGCATGCATTACACACAGACCTATATAAATGCATGCATTACACACAGACTTATATAAATGCATGCATTACACACAGACTTATATAAATGCATGCATTACACACAGACTTATATAAATGCATGCATTACACACAGACTTATATAAATGCATGCATTACACGCAGACTTATATAAAATGCATGCATTACACACAGACTTATATAAATGCATGCATTACACGCATACTTATATAAATGCATGCATTACACACAGACCTATATAAATGCATGCATTACACACAGACCTATATAAATGCATGCATTACACACAGACTTATAAAAATGCATGCATTACACACAGACTTTTATAAATGCATGCATTACACACAGACTTATATAAAATGCATGCATTACACACAGACTTATATAAATGCATGCATTACACACAGACCTATATAAATGCATGCATTACACGCAGACTTATATAAATGCATGCATTACACACAGATCTATATAAATGCATGCATTACACACAGACTTATATAAATGCATGCATTACACACAGACCTATATAAATGCATGCATTACACACAGACTTATATAAATGCATGCATTACACACAGACCTATATAAATGCATGCATTACACACAGACTTATATAAATGCATTCATTACACACAGACTTATATAAATGCATGCATTACACACAGACCTATATAAATGCACGCATTACACACAGACCTATATAAATGCATGCATTACACACAGACCTATATAAATGCATGCATTACACAAAGACTTATATAAATGCATGCATTACACACAGACCTATATAAATGCATGCATTACACAAAGACTTATATAAATGCATGCATTACACACAGACCTATATAAATGCATGCATTACACACAGACTTATATAAATGCATGCATTACACACAGACCTATATAAATGCATGCATTACACACAGACTTATATAAAATGCATGCATTACACACAGACTTATATAAATGCATGCATTACACACAGACTTATATAAATGCATGCATCACACACAGACCTATATAAATGCATGCATTACACACAGACTTATATACATGCATGCATTACACACAGACCTATATAAATGCATGCATTACACACAGACTTATATAAATGCATGCATTACACACAGACCTATATAAATGCATGCATTACACACAGACTTATATACATCCATGCATTACACACAGACCTATATAAATGCATGCATTACACACAGACCTATATAAATGCATGCATTACACACAGACTTATATAAATGCATGCATTACACACAGACCTATATAAATGCATGCATTACACACAGACTTATATAAATGCATGCATTACACACAGAGTTATATAAAATGCATGCATTACACACAGACTTATATAAATGCATGCATTACACACAGACTTATATAAATGCATGCATTACACACAGACCTATATAAATGCATGCATTACAAACAGACCTATATAAATGCATGCATTACAAACAGACGTATATAAATGCATGCATTACACTAAGACTTATATAAATGCATGCATTACACACAGACTTATATAAATGCATGCATTACACAAAGACTTATATAAATGCATGCATTACACACAGACCTATATAAATGCATGCATTACACACAGACCTATATAAATGCATGCATTACACACAGACTTATATAAATGCATGCATTACACACAGACTTATATAAATGCATGCATTACACACAGACTTATATAAATGCATGCATTACACACAGACTTATATAAATGCATGCATTACACGCAGACTTATATAAAATGCATGCATTACACACAGACTTATATAAATGCATGCATTACACGCAGACTTATATAAATGCATGCATTACACACAGACCTATATAAATGCATGCATTACACAAAGACCTATATAAATGCATGCATTACACACAGACTTATAAAAATGCATGCATTACACACAGACTTTTATAAATGCATGCATTACACACAGACTTATATAAATGCATGCATTACACACAGACCTATATAAATGCATGCATTACACGCAGACTTATATAAATGCATGCATTACACACACATCTATATAAATGCATGCATTACACACAGACTTATATAAATGCATGCATTACACACAGACCTATATAAATGCATGCATTACACACAGACTTATATAAATGCATGCATTACACACAGACCTATATAAATGCATGCATTACACACAGACTTATATAAATGCATGCATTACACACAGACTTATATAAATGCATGCATTACACACAGACCTATATAAATGCATGCATTACACACAGACCTATATAAATGCATGCATTACACACAGAACTATATAAATGCATGCATTACACACAGACTTATATAAATGCATGCATTACACACAGACTTATATAAATGCATGCATTACACACAGGTTTATATAAATGCATGCATTACACACAGACTTATATAAATGCATGCATTACACACAGACCTATATAAATGCATGCATTACACATAGACCTATATAAATGCATGCATTACACACAGACTTATATAAATGCATGCATTACACACAGACCTATATAAATGCATGCATTACACACAGACTTATAAACATGCATGCATTACACACAGACTTTTATTAATGCATGCATTACACACAGACTTATATAAAATGCATGCATTACACACAGACTTATATAAATGCATGCATTACACACAGACCTATATAAATGCATGCATTACACACAGACTTATATAAATGCATGCATTACACACAGATCGATATA